CCCGACCCGAGGGCAGCGGGGCATCCCCGCTTGAAGGGGTGACTTCAGCGGCCTGGGACCTCCCGTTGGGCATTCCTGAGATGGGGGAGAGGTCTCTCCGGAGCAGCAGCAGCACCCGGGGTGGGGGGTGGGGCTTGGATGAAGTCTCCCTTGCAGGTTCCTCTGGGGCGATCCCATGCCTTCACACTTGCCCTTCTGTGAGGTCTGGAGGTGGGGGCCCAAAGCCGCTCTTCTCCCCCCCCCACCCCGCGGGTCTGTGCCTCCTGCAGGGTCTCCGCCGCCCGAGGCATCACCCATGAACCGAAGCAGCACGCGGCTCCCCTTGCCGCAGCCCCGTCTCTCACTTCAGAGAGCGCCCTGGGGGGGGGCGGAGGTGGACCCCATGTCCACCACGGTCTCCTCAGACAGACAGGAGGGGAGGCAGGCAAATGACACCTGTTTAAAGAGAGGGAGGGGAGAAGGAGGGGGGAGAGGGGTGCCACCCTGGTTTCCGAGAGGAAACTCTGCATGCGGGGAAGTTCTGGAGGGTGGAAAGCAGAGCAGAGAGAGACCGGGGACGGGCCTCCCGGGGTCTTCCCATTCCCTTCCTCCTTGTTCTTTGCCCCTTGATCCTGACCCCTCTCCGACCCCCCCAACCCTCTTGCATGCTCTCCCCTCCCTCCCTCTGCCTCCACCGCCCCAGATTATTCTCTGGAGGAGCCTCTGTTGTCTAAACCCGGGAAACAAATGCCAAGCGAGGTCCTTCCTCTCTTGGAGAAGCAGCTTGGCATCTCTGCCCTGTGCCTCCCCGAGAGGGTAGGAAGGGGTTAAAGCAGGGGGTGCCGAAGGAGGCAGATCCTTGACCCCCCACACACAAATGCAGATTCGAAGGTGAGCTCCCAGGGAGGCAGGGCCCAACCTCGCCTTGGGCTTTCTCCCCGCCCGTGCATGTCTGTATGTTTGTGCAAAAGAGAGAGTAAGGGGGGGGGTGCCAGGGTGCTTGTCGCACTTCTGTCTCCCCGTTCCTGGTGCCAGATGAGAGAGAGGACTCTTGCCTACAGAAGGTGGAGCCCCGAGGTGCGGAAATGGTCCCCAGCTTGGGCACAGGGACCTGGTGGCCGCTGGCGTCCCTATGAGCCAGCTGGGCCAGCCGACGGGCTGCCCAAGTGCCCTTGCGGGGGGGGGCACCAGCTGCTTCTGACCTTTGCTGCCTTGCTCTTCCCTCGCCAGGAGAGTGCGGGACACCCCTTCCTTCACCCTTGCTGCACCCTGGCTGGAGGGAGGAGAAGTGCCATCGCCAGGCTTCGGCCAGCTGCCGCGTTGCGTTCTCTCTGGGGTAGGGCTAACGGCCTTCCTGAGGTACGTATTTGTGAGCTTTCCACGAGTGGCTTTCCATGGAGTTTCTGTGGCGAACCAGGATTGGATCCCAGGTCTCCAGAGAGGCCTCGCCTGACACTCTGCTCACTGTAGCACACGGACGCCCAGGCCCTCGTGGTTGCCCTGGATGGTCCTGAACCCTCCTTAACTTCACGCAGGATCGTCTCCCAAAATTCCAGGGGCTGCAACGCAGGAGAGGGGAAAGGGTTCTCTGCTCCCCTACGGGAAGGATGAGTTCTGATGGACAAGAGACAAGAGGGCACATTTGGCCTGAGCATTGGGTGGAGGGGAATATTTTGACAGCAAAAGCAGGCCCACCATGGAACCAGTTCCCCGTGGCTAATTGGTGGTGCATGGCTGAAGTTCGAACAACTCGGAGCTGTTTTTATGATCACCTAGCTTGCAAAATACTGAAAAGATGAAGCTTCCAGGGTTTGGGAAACTGGATGTTAATCACAGGGGTCTGTTATCAACGATCCTCTGTCGAAATAGAAAAGACCATCTTTTAACAAAGGTGGTGGATTAAATTTGCAGTTGTGGGACCAGTTCCCGGGTAGTTCCGCCATAAAAATAATATGAAAATATACGGAATATAAATTTAGATGGAATCAACTTGTAAGCCTCAATACTGCTCCAACCTGTAAAAGTGGTAAAAGAGCCTCCTTCACTTGATATTAAGTCTCGCTGGCAGGCAGGGAAGAAAACGTCCTCTTTCCCCCCCTCATTTCTCCCGGACAGACGCCGGCCGGCTCCATCTCCATCAAGGCCATGCTGTGCATCCTTATCTCCTTCCCAAAAGGGGAGCTGCAAGTGTTCGTCTTTCCTGCCCCTTATCTCACAAAGCAACCTTGGCCTGGCCCTTCTCCAGGAAATAAACCAGGATTAAGTTCATGGGAGGAAAGTGGCAGGAAAGCAGGTCATCACTGCACCATCTGGGGGTCAACGGGCTGGAAGGCAAGGCAGGA